ACAATCCCAATAATCAATAATAACATCCAGGCAATCCAATAATCAATAGTATCTAGGGAGTACACTCCCTATCACTATTCCAATAATCCAAAAGAAATATTAAGGGGTCGTTTACTTTGCATGATGGGATAAGACAAATTAATCACACCCACTTTCCATGTGAGCATTTAGTCCTTTATTTACTTTTTGGGATGGAATTTGCATAAATGAATCCTTCATTTACTTCCATGGATTAAATAAGATGAGGGTAAAAAAGGTATAAAAAAGGGGGATTGAATTATCAGAGGTCCATACCGGGATTTTTTTATCAGAAAGTGACGGATGGAAGGCTGCCACCTGTGCGCCATGTCATTAAAATCCTGTCCCAAACCCGCGAAGTAAATGTCGGATAGTCGGGACTAATTTTCTTATTCTGTCCCAAACCCGCGAAGTAAACGACCCCTAATAGTAATCAGTTTATCAGGCGGAAGTATTAATCAATTTAAAATACCACCACTCGCATCCCTCCGCCGTGCCCGCATAAACTAACATGCATCCATGAAGAGCAGGTGGGGATTAACACAAAAGGAAACAATAGTGCTCACCGCTATGCAATAAATGTTAATCTCAATAATAAACAATGTTCAATAATCAAAAGGTATGGTCTTAGCATATATACAAAACAATAAACTATCCCATTCTCCCATCAATAATCACAATAAACAGACTCATGTGCACACCTACGCATAGACTACTGCCGATACTCGATTCGAACGCGAAGACCTACGACTTGGTCATACAACGATGCCCAGCCAGTAGGAGTAAACCACCCCGCCGACCAAAATCTACGAATTGGTCTTACAATCGGGGATCACCAGCCAGAACCTACGTCTTGGTCTTACGGCTCTCAAGGGAGACTACCCAACGGGTACGTTCTATAGCTACGGGAATAACCGTTTCGTGGCCGGTACAGCTCACACCGAAGGCTACATGATTCACATGCATACTTTGATCATACCACAATTAAAACAGTAATAACATTTAAGGCATAGTAATTTTTCAAATAAAACCCACCTGATACTGCAAAGGTGCAAAGGACGATGGTGAATACACGCTCAAATAAGGACGAGGGCTCGACTCCTCTTG